AATTGAAGCAGTCACCAAATTTTGTTCAAAGTCTCTGAGATTGAATTGATAGCAATTCTGACGATAGCAATTCCAGCCGTTGCCATCACCAAAAGATGAAGCTCTAGCAAGGACTATCGAGAGGACTACTGACAACCATACCGGAATGTAGGTTGTTCCCTACACATTTTTAACGATTAAAACACGATTTTTTAAATTCAGGGTAATCTTTAAGTTCAAAATCGTTGAAAGCTCTGGAAACGACTATGTTATGGTGGGAATGATTCCAGCTTCAAAATCGTTGAAAGCTCTGGAAACGACTATGTTATGGTGGGAATGATTCCAGCTCTTGGCTTGCCCCAAGCGCTTACTCCAATCTTAGCTCCCTTGTTTACTTGTATGATAAAACGTGCGGTGAGCAATTTACCCATTCAGGACTAACTAGTGTTACTTGAAACAAAAGGGTAGTTTTTAAATTGAATTGACTGACTGTTCTAGGTGGCTAAGCGGGTTGCGACCAGCGTCGGGAACTTCTCCGATGAAGACTTCAAACAGTTGTTACGCAAGGATTTGGATACATATCGGGATCTCCTCGCCGGCAAGAAATTCTTCTTCGGCGACGAAATTACCTCGGTCAGTAGTTTTGCAGATTCCCTATTTGGCCGAAAAAGGAACATTCTTCTCTCTTCGAGGCGGTACGAGTCGATAAGCCAGGTTTCGATCTCTCGAATATTTCATTACGAATACGTGCATGATTCCATGAGTGAACTACATTAATGTATAGGAAGTAAGCCACTTTGCAATGGAATGTATACCAGAGAATTAAATGCAGAATGAGGAAGTGATACAGTTGATACTAAAGAATGGCAAAGTTGCAAGGTAGAGGGACCAGTCCACCACTGCCCCAGCTTCCTGCCACCCGTCACCGTGGGGGCCAGACTAACTAGGAGAAAACCAAATCTGATACAATCATTCATACCTCAAGACTTCCTAACGTATAAGGACGAAATATCAGACTTGTGCTCATAGTGTACCCCGTTTGGTTTAAAG